TTCCCTCACCCAGGGCTGCGTTTCGTGGCCCCATAAGAAGCTCCACCGAAGGCCCCAGTGGCGCAGTTCGCATGCGTCCCCCCAACCCAGGGCAGCGCTTCGTGGCCCCATAGGTATAGCCCCCCCGAAAGTCCCAGTGGCGCAGGTCGCATGCGTCCCTCCCACCCAGTACAGCGTTTCGTGGCCCCATAAGAAGCTCCACCGAAGGTCCCAGTGGCGCAGTTCGCATGCGTCCCCGCCCACCCAGTACAGCGCTTCGTGGCCCCATAGGGAGCTCCACCGAAGGTCCCAGTGGCGCAGTTCGCATGCGTCCCCCCCACCCAGTACAGCGTTTCGTGGCCCCATACGGGGCTCCCCCGAATGCGATACCCACAACTGCATATGGTTGGGTCCTTCGCCAGGCTAATTTCACTAGTTCTGGATATTCCTTCTGTTAAGGGACATGCCCGACGTAGCGCTGGGTGCAGGGCGAGAGGGGCGAGCGCGCCCTTGCGGCTCGCAATGCACGCCTGCGCCCGGCATCATCCGACGCCGCAGCCTGCGCTCGTGAGCTGCGCGGGGGCATTGAGTAAGAGAGCCGAGTGCCTGGTATCTCTCCTCGATGAACTTTTGGGAGTTCTCCTGGAACGGCGAGAAGTGGTCGCCGTGCATGAACTCCCACACCACCTTGCCCTCCCCTCCTTTACCTCTCCATCCCCTCATTCCCCCTCCCCGTCCCTCTCCCCCTCCTCCTCCTCCTCCCGCTCCTTGTCCCTCCCTCTCCCACCTATCCCCGCCCTCCTCATGCCCACACGCATCCCCTCACCTCCACGCTCCCCCCGTTCCCCCTTGACGCACTCGCAGACCCTTACCCCCCGATGTCATGTCATTTCATACAGTTGACCCTGGGAGGTCTCAACAGCTTCCCCCGGACCGATTCTCAGTGATGTTTCCTTGTCACGGTCCCGCGGCCGAGCAAGGGCCCTGGGAACCCGACAATTACCATACCACTCCCGTCGTGAGATCTTTCACGATGCCGGGGGCCCAGGCCCTTCCCGAGGGCTTCCTCCCCGCCTTCGCCGGAGCCTGTTTTCCTTAGACTCCAGCAGGTTTACTTGCAGGGACGGGGGGGGGCTGAACCTGGAGCAAGCCGCAAACGACCTGCACGTGCGGAAATCACGCAAGGTGCAAGGGGCACTTGCATGCTAGTGTTCGTTTGAAGAAGGGCGAGGGGGAGGGATGGGGGGGGGGGGGGCGAACGTTACGCAAGTAAACTTGCCCGAATCAAACAAAAATCAGGCTCTCGCCAGGTGACGTCGCCTAGAGTCCGGCTCGGGGAGGGGGGCGGGCGCCGCCAGACTCCAGGCCCCGGCGCGCCCGCAGCAGGTGAGGCTAGGGCGTCCAAGAGGGGGGCGCACAAGAGGTCCTCAGGTCCCGAGAGAATCCTCTGAAATCCCTTGGGGATCCTGGGGACTCCCAAGGGAATCCTGAGGGATTCCTTGGGAATCCTGTGGGATCCCCCTGAAATTCTGTGGAATACCTGTGGAATCCTGGAGATGCCCCAGCGAATCCCAAGAGCGCCTCAGGGAATCCCCAGGAGTCCCCAGAAAAGGCTCGCAGATCGTGGCCCGAGGCATGTGCGCGGCCCAGGGTGGGCCAGGGACGCATTCAAGTGAGAGGGGGGGCCATGACGTCCCAGGGTATGTCTCATCAGGGCCCCGGCCATGGCATCCCCCCCGTAGTCACCGCCCCCCTCACGACCGCCCCCGCAGGAGGAGAGGTGTGCGTCGCCGACCGGGGAACTCCGCGCGGACCTGCACGAAGCTGCGCGGGCCCACCTTCTCGACGCGACGCCGGCGCTGGTCGCAGAGGCGAGGGCGGGGGAGCGCGAGGTTTTGAGGGGCCCCTGCGGGGCCCCAGGTCTAGCCCACACCTGCACGCTGCCCTCAGATGACAGTCCCAACGTTCGAACCTGATTGGAACCCACCGAGATTTCGGCCGGCGGCCTCGTGCTCATGCGGCTGCTGCTCCTCGGGGAGTTTGGGAGGGGCGGAGGGGGTGCGGCTCTGTCTCGTGGCGCGGGCCCCCAGGGCCCTCGACCTGTTCCCCAGGGGTCCATTCATTCCATCCTGGGCAGCTGTGTGACGGGCCCGATGAGCGACACACAACTGCCGCGACTTTGTCGTGGCGAAGAGGGCGTCTCGTGTTTTACGTGGCGAAGAAGACCTGAGCGTCCCCCCCGATCTTTTTTTTTGCCGTTCTTGCTTTCTCTGGCCGCAGGCCTTCGACGGCACACGGCCCGGCGCCGTCCGCACGGGTCCCGGGCAGCCGGCCTCCAAAAACCTAGCCGAGGAGACAGGGGGGGCGGAAAGGAAGGGAGAAGGAGCGGGAGGGAGGAGGAGGAGGAGGAGGAGAAGGAGACAGAAAAGCTGCCAGGCCGACCCCGGCGAGCGGGTGGCCTCAGAGCTTGCCGACCGTCAGCATTCGGGCGAGGCCCGCCACGAAGAAGAAGATGAAGAAG